TCCATAAGAATATGTAATGGAGTCTCCTTGGCAGCGTAACAAAAGTGACATAGGTCACTAGACCAGATTCCTAAATATTATGATAAGTGACATCTTAACATACAATTGTCCGCCAAAGTACATGTAATGATCATTAGTTTCTCATTAGGGAGTTCTATGAGTACCATATATCGTTTTAGATTGTACCCTCCTAGCAAGATTTTGGATTGACGAAGTCACATGGCACTACGTCGATGCAATTCCCTTAGTCTGATGTTTTCCTTCCCGTGCACTTCCTTTATCGTGTTGGGACCTATTGAAAGAGGTCGAGGCAGTAGCCAGTCTGGAAAGATGGTCCGCTTCCTCAATGCTTCGACTTCCATGTGCCCTGGTACCCATAGCAATTGGAGGGTATTGTTCTCAGCCAGAGACCACCGAGGATTTTGTCTCGAAGAATGAGAGAGACTAGAGTTCCGCCTGGCTATCGTTTAAAATCGGGGTCCTCTCGCTTCGATACTTCCTTCGAAGGTTAATCCCAGCGCATAGACTAATGACATAGACTTCCGCTTGAAAGATGCTGGGAAAGGTTCCCAGGGACACCGAAAGCTTCAGTCTAGGGCCATAAACATCTGCTGCTATCCCCTCGGGAATTTTACGAGCCATCTGAATACCATCTTAATCGCCTGGATATGTCTCCCCATGATAGAGGTACTCCAGATCGCCTTTCTCTTTACTATATGCATGTCGTCCCTGGGAGCCCTCCACAGGAGTTTGCAATCCAGGATAAGTCCCAGATACTTCACTTCTGCAGCGGCGCTAACCGCGGCCTTCTTCACAAGTCTATCGGCAGTCTCCCTTCCTTCAATACCAATTTGTGCCGGATTCCAGAGAACGCAAAATCGATGGTCAGACCAAGAATGTTCCGCATGTCAAGGCACTATATCACCCATTTAGTGTTACCTGATGAGAACCGAGGACCTTAATAGCCGTTTTGCTCTCAGTCAAGCTAGCAATGTTCTGATTCCGGTAATTGCGCTTGTATATTTTATATTTACACATAGGTTACGAGTCTCAACATCGGTCCAACTAAAATCCAACTAAAACTATCCCGCTTCCCTGTTCAGTCAATGACCCATCAACGTGCCGGGGTATCGTGTTTTGGTTTATCGGATACGCCTGTCCAGCTCTTCTCATCAATTAGAACAGTTTTAGACCACCTTGTAAAGCAGAACTTCGGATGCATGGTATTCCTCGGTGCACTGCTTCGTCGGAATATGGATCCTCCTACGACTAAGAAACCCTTCTAAGGATAAGGTCTAGAAGAACTTCCCAGGATTCGTTTGAAGAAGTTTTCATGGCTGCAGATCTGTATCTTGGTGAGCGCTTAGATTGTCACAAGTTATGCAGTTCAACCGACTCAGATGATGGTTTTCTGGGGTCGCACTATCGCCGTGTAGACCTATCTCAGTATTTGTGGGAAGCGTTCCTAGCTATTTCTTGTCATCTGTATATTCCTCCCATCATTCTGTGGGTACCATGATTTCTTAATCTGTCTCTTAGCAGACTCAGCTTCGGGTTTCATGAAGTAGATTTGCTTTTGCTTTTAAGCCTTCTAAATGGGCAGGGAATATGGAGACTAGTATGGTTGTTAAGTAACTGACTCAATTGAAATACCCTTTTGGAATCTTTCGTGTCGCGAAAAGAAAACATGTCTCTACTTTATCCAACAGATTGGTTCCTTTTTGCCGAAGTAATGACAATTTTTGTTTTCAACCTGCCTGTATGCAATTCCAGCAACATGTAGACCTCAATGTTCATAATTTAGCTCATATTGAACCACATACATACATACATTTATACATAAATATCTACCTACATAAATTTGCGCATCTGTGTCAATTGCACTGTGAGATTGCTATGGGTTGCGAGAGAAGCCAATTCATATTACTTTAAGTTACTTATATGCGCACATACAAATGAACAACTGCACAGATTTGTATGTGAAGAGCATTGTCATAAATCTGCTATCCTAAGCTAATTGCAATTGCATGCATCTCCATAGTATGTACATATGTACAAATGCATGTATCTACAAGATGTAGTATACTAATGTACGAATTGATTATGCGAAATTAATACAGTCGTCTCCGAAATTCATATTCCCACGGTTTTGCCCCATTGACCCTTTTTTGATTATCCATAACTTAGATTTTATATATAAATATGTATGTTAATTAGGCCAATACTGAATTATTGGGAAGAATTTGAATTTAGTCGTGCAATACTTTCATAAGGAATTTGTATACATTTCTTTGTAACAAAATTAAATAAAGTCTAGCGCAGACGGAATCAATTTGTATGTAAATATATTTCTAGTAGATAGCAGTGATAAGCTTGATCTCTAAATAGTATTCAAACCAAACTGTCCAAGAATAAATTCATGATACTTTTTTTTTTGAATAAGTAAATAATCAGACGGCGTATAAATTTCTGACCTTTGGTTTAACTTTCGACTGTTTCGTCATTAATCCTGTTCCTGTATTATTTTTAATGAGATTCATCTCTGAACATTTTTTTTCGACCGCAGCACTACTGTGCAGTAAGACAGGTAACGTCAACATATACTCTGCCAAATTGTTAAACATACACCTTTTTAAAACATTTTTGTGGTACTTAATCAATCCCTTGATTTGGGAAATAACAAATGATTCCACAAGGAATGTTAAGGAGTAAAAGAGACAACTTCTGTTACACCTTGATGTACAAAACCTTGGTGGTTGCCATAGAAGTTATTGAGCCAAAAATTTTAAAAAGTTACCATATTATTTTTAATAAATTCTTAATGTGAATGGAAAAAAGTAAAAAAAATCTAGAGCATATTTAAGTCAAGCGGAGTAGGGAGTAGATTTTAAATTTAAAAAAGAAATCGGAGTAAATCTACTCCGATCGGAGCAAAGTCCGGACGCTGGCAGCACCTCAGAAACCTTAGAGGCACTTAAATTTGCTAATACTTTCACAAAAACCGCCGNACGGAGCAAAGTCCGGACGCTGGCAGCACCTTAGAAACCTTAGAGGCACTTAAATTTGCTAATACTTTCACAAAAACCGCCGTTTTTTTAATTTTTGCTATTAATTATTTTTATAAAGCATATATTTTGCAATTTAACACAATAAAACCGCGTTTCCTGTCGAAAGATTTATTACTGAGAAAATTTACTATTTGACAGTTTATTTTATCCTATCATTCGGCTTTGTTTACTTTTACTTGAGAAATTTCATCGTTCATTTTCACAATGTGGTAGAAGTTCGATCACTGTATTCCATTAGTGAGTGGGCTAAGAGTAAATGGGTTTAAAGTCCCAAGGTAAATAGAATGCCACAGTTTAGATCTAAGATAAGACTAGGNTAGAGCATATTTAAGTCAAGCGGAGTAGGGAGTAGATTTTAAATTTAAAAAAGAAATCGGAGTAAATCTACTCCGATCGGAGCAAAGTCCGGACGCTGGCAGCACCTCAGAAACCTTAGAGGCACTTAAATTTGCTAATACTTTCACAAAAACCGCCGTTTTTTTAATTTTTGCTATTAATTATTTTTATAAAGCATATATTTTGCAATTTAACACAATAAAACCGCGTTTCCTGTCGAAAGATTTATTACTGAGAAAATTTACTATTTGACAGTTTATTTTATCCTATCATTCGGCTTTGTTTACTTTTACTTGAGAAATTTCATCGTTCATTTTCACAATGTGGTAGAAGTTCGATCACTGTATTCCATTAGTGAGTGGGCTAAGAGTAAATGGGTTTAAAGTCCCAAGGTAAATAGAATGCCACAGTTTAGATCTAAGATAAGACTAGGATCTATGAGGTTCATTCGAGACCAGGAGGAAATGCGAAAGACTAAAAATTACCTAAAAACCACAAAAGTCTACGCTTCAACAGTGCATATCGACCTAGAAAAAAACATATCNAACAGTTTAGATCTAAGATAAGACTAGGATCTATGAGGTTCATTCGAGACCAGGAGGAAATGCGAAAGACTAAAAATTACCTAAAAACGACAAAAGTCTACGCTTCAACAGTGCATATCGACCTAGAAAAAAACATATCACTATGTCGGGACCCTTAGCTAGATATACGAAGGGATAGGAACTCTTTAAATTAGTAAAAGGAATTTTTGCACTGATCAGCCTGATTGGTGAAGACCTCAGTAGACTGTCCTGCGCTGGGCATGACTGCTTTAGAGACTCGAACGAATTCATGTTAGCTACCAGCCTGTCCAGCGGCTTTAGTGGTAGAGCCGCGAGCCCAATTGATACTGCAAATGCAAAATAATCAAAGGACCAGCAAAAAACGTAAGCAATTTTTTGTTGGCAGAGGAGAAAGCGACTATCATTATCGCCATGAAAACTAAAAATCTAAAGGAGTAATCCGCAGTCTAAGGGAATCTTAAGAATGTTAAACTAGAACTCTTTCGAAATTGTCTGAAAACAGATCATGCTTGGATGACTACCAGGTCGGATATATTACGGGTCGTTTAGTAAGGAAGTTAGCTAGCTAGGAAGCTAGAGCATACGCGACGTATTTTATGAATTAGCAGAGGACATGATTGAACGACTTTTCGACGCCTAAAAAACTAACGCAGCAGGACCCGAATGAATTCAATGGAAGGATTAAGCTCAATAGGACCAACATACATATATGTATGCACTGGGCCTCATAACTTATGAAATTTCGAAAGTATTCGATCTCGGCGCAGGTTGAGTATCGATTGCAGAGCGACATAAGCATACGAAGAGCCCCAGGCCGAAGTTATGTCGGGTATTAGATATATTTATGATATTTAATTTGTACTTAGACACTTGTGGAGCGCGTGCTGCTGGAACACCAGAACCAAACACGATTATTTAAACATTTTGCTTGTCCTTCTTTAGCATTTGCATGCAAAGAGGCAAGAAAGCACTTTGAAAAACGCTGTTTCTCTTCACACCAAAACAATGCATATTTGCACACATCACCTACCTTTTTGCAGCTGCTGCTGTTGTTGTTGATACAAGTGGTGATGGGGATCACGCCACGGTTGCCACAACAAACTGTTCGCCATATTCGAGTTGTTTTGTTGATCGCGCGCGTGCAACAAATGCGCATGCGCGTGCGCAGCCGATTGGTGATGATGATGGTGGTGGTGTTGCTGGTGGTGGTGATGCAAGTGTTGCAAATGAGACGGCGGCGGCTGTAGTGGTAGTGGCAACGTTTGCAATTGCATGTGTGAAATTGTTGGTGATGGCGGCGCTGCGGCGGCGGCGGCGACATGATGCGCGCCACCTAACCGCCCCGCCTGTTGCAATTGTTGATGCTGCAGCTGATGCAGGTGCTGTTGTGCAGCCATGGCCGCGACGGCAGCAGCAGCTTGTGCAGCGGAAAATGTATGCGTGAAATGATGCGGCGGTGATAGCGGCTGTTGGGCAGCTGTTGCTGCCGTCGTCGCCGCCGCCGCCGCTGCCACAGCCAGCGGCTGTTGTGGTTGCGTTTGCGGAAGTTTGTGGCCATTTGTTAGAGCGTTGTTTATTTTGCTGGTAGCGGCTGCTTGATAGCTGCTGCTGCTACTGCTATGCGTGCTGGCCGTTGGACTGGATGCAGGCAGTGCAGCGCCAGCGGTGGCGGCAGCAGATGTTGGTGAAGATGAGAGTGATGAGGCGGTCGAGGAGGATGCTGAGGGCGAAGCTATGGATGAGGTGGTCGACGAGTCATTTACAGTGTTGTTGCTGTTGTGGCTGGTACTATTCGTAGACGCATGGGAAGTGTTGCGTGCCGCTAGCGCATTCTGTGTGGCAGCAGATGCGGCGGCGGCGGATGCAGTTGCGGCTACAACGCGCTCAAACTCCTTGATGCGATTGTAGTAGTTTTGCTCGAAGGCGTTGAGCAGCAGATATTCCATTGTGATGCGCGATACAGGGTGTCAGAATTTTAATTTATTGTGTTATTTTTTTCTTTTTCAATTCAGTGCACAGCGCCCGCCATATTCAGCTGGCGATTTTTGAAGTCAAACTTGTGGTTTTTCAATANGTTATTTTTTTCTTTTTCAATTCAGTGCACAGCGCGCGCCATATTCAGCTGGCGATTTTTGAAGTCAAACTTGTGGTTTTTCAATAATTTTTTTGGACGTTCGAATAGTTATGTGTTTTTACTTTGTTTTAATTTTATTCACAGTTTATAAATTGATTTTATGCATCAATTGGTCAATCTGTTTAAAAAAATTATATTATTTGCATTTTATATTTTGATTCACGGTTTTTTGTTGTTATGGGTGAATATATGTATTTATATTTATACGTACGAAAATATCGGAAAATTAAAAAGATTTAAGAATAAACTCTCAGGAAATACGTTTCAAAATGCATTTTTTAAGACGAATTTAAAAATTTTTTAGTTTAATGTAATTTTTCAACCTAAATTTTTTATGCAAAATTAAAAAAAAAAAATTGTATGCAAAATATTAAGAAATTTTAATTTTTCGTGTCAATTGCTTTTAAAACGCTTTCACGCAAAATTGAATAGGGTTTTACAAATTTCGTAATTTAATTTGAACTAATTTTGTCTGTTTTTTTTTACTTTTCCTTCACTTTTAAACGTTTCTCAAGCAGGGATCACACGATTTGCACATTTGTATAGTTCCGGAGTGGGACTGTTTGGAAATTTTTTTTATTGGGTTGAACTCATTCTCGATAAAATTCATGATTTTCATAGAGTATTTTAGTTATTTTTATTAAAACAAAGGGGGGGTAATTTAAATACAATTTTTAAGGAAAAATACAATTTTAGTGTATTTTGTTTGTTACAAAAACATTTTTGCAAAAACTCATAGGCTTTCAACATTTTTGTAAAATTTTCGTAGTTGGTTTCTCGGCATCGTTTTGTATATGTTTTTCTACTTTTCCTACACTTTTAATTTTTTCGCGTTACTGTTTTAGCATAAACTGGTGGTCACAGTTAAAACTTTATGAATTTTCATGAAGTATTTTTTTATTTGTGTTTTATTTATGGTTTTCGTTTTTGTTATTGAAAATCTCACATTGTTTTCCTACATATTTGGATCTGGCGTCCACGACGTGCCAATGTGTCACTTCAATATTCCCCAACTATATAGTAAATATTTATGTACATACCTAGCTTGAACAAAAAAACAATGTTAACGAGTTGTTTGAAGTTCACGATTCGAGTTTTCAGCATTCAAATGCTGCTTAAATACGAAATAATATGCGAAAACGTGCCTTGCATATTAAAGCATACTCCATACAACAAAAAANAAACTATATAGTAAATATTTATGTACATACCTAGCTTGAACAAAAAAAAAAATGTTAACGAGTTGTTTGAAGTTCACGATTCGAGTTTTCAGCATTCAAATGCTGCTTAAATACGAAATAATATGCGAAAACGTGCCTTGCATATTAAAGCATACTCCATACAACAAAAAAAAAAGTATTTATGTATGAATGTAGGAGCGTTTAAGCATGAATAGCAACGCTACAGCAATAGCGTTAATATTGCAACATACAAAACGAATCGTAAAAACTTAATAATTAGAAAAAAATTGTTCTTTTTTAGCAAAATGTTTTTCGACACAGATTTTTTATGTTTTTTAACAGGCAGTTTGTGACATTAGATGAATACCCCTAATGTAAGTTTTTCCAGTTTGATTTGGTGTCTTTTTTATGATTTGTTACTGATTTAAGTGTTTTTAGCTTTTGAGTTCCGTGATCGTTTTCGAGGCTTATTTTAAAAAAGTTTTGGTAAAAAAAAATTATTTCACAACAAATGGTTAACAAAAATATTTTACATTTTCATAAAATAATATTTGAAATGTATTCAAATAAATTTTTTAAAGACAATTATAATTTTAGTTTTATTTATGAATTTTTTATGCCGATTTTATAAATTTTTCGATAAAATTTCTGGCTTAAGATTTTTTAATGTAATTGTTTTTTGTGTAAATAATTTTTTTAATTGAAAAACAATTTTTTTTTTTAATTTGTTACTAAAATTTAATACGGACGATGTTTTTTTATTAAAATATCAAACTCTTCTCAAAAATTTAAATTTTGTGCAAAGCTTGGNTTTACTGATTTAAGTGTTTTTAGCTTTTGAGTTCCGTGATCGTTTTCGAAGCTTATTTTAAAAAAGTTTTGGTAAAAAAAAAATTATTTCACAACAAACGGTTAACAAAAATATTTTACATTTTCATAAAATAATATTTGAAATCTATTAAACTAAATTTTTTAAAGACAATTAAAATTTTATTTTTATTTATGAATTTTTTATGATGATTTTATAAATTTTTCGATAAAATCTCTGGCTTAAGATTTTTTAATTCAATGGTTTTTTGTGTAAATAATTTTTTTAATTGAAAAACGAATTTTTTTCTTTTAAAATTTGTTACTAAAAGTGAATACGGACGATGTTTTTTTCATTAAAATATCAAACTCTTCTCAAAAATTTAAATTTTGTGCAAAGCTTGGCACTTGCGTTTATATATTTTTGTTAAAGAATTAACTATACATATATTGCTTGTGAAATAATGGAAATTAATAAAGGAAAAATTACCCCGAAAAAAGCGAAAAAGTTTGAAAATTTGATAAATATTTTATGAATTTTTTTGCGTTTACTTAGTTTTTGTTAGGGAATGAACTGTATTTTAATAGAAAAAGAATGGAAATAAAATAAAAGAAAAATAACGCAGAAAAAAGACAAAAAGTTTTAAAATTTGGATGCAAAGGTGATGATTTTTTCTTTGATATTCCACAAAATTTTTGAAATTCGTGCTTATGTGGTTTTTATTAGAAAATGAACCGCTGAAAAATAATGAAAATTAAATTTAAACAATTACCTAGAAAAAAGAGTAAAAGCATTCTTCCTAGTAAGTTGCAAGGGATTGTGAATTTGCTTGCTTTAATAGTTTGCATTAAATTTTCAATTGTGAAGTAAAGTAGTTTTCCATGCTAAAAGTTTTTAATTTTTTTTCAGTTAATTTGTATATTTATTTACTTCTTTAATTTCTTTGCGTTTTGTTTTCTATCCTTTGAATTTCATTTGCACATACATATGTATTTCATTTTCAGGATTTAACGCCCTCTTAAGTTAACAATTTTCGCACTTCCTTTGGAAATTTTGCAGCCATATCTTTTGGTTTATTCACTTAGTAATATATTTTCTGTATTCAACTCATATCCACGGCGCATTTGACTGCAGACAAACAGAAAACCAAACAGCAAAAAAAATCGCTTGCAATCGCATTAATATTTTTTAAATTTATTTTTAAACATTTCTCTATTGCAGCAGTTATCTTTTATGCGGGCATTCATTCACTATGTAGCTGCTTAATGCAGGCGCTTGGCCGATTCAACGCCACTGCAATTGGCTTTGCTTTGCTTTGCTTTGCTAGCCTGCTTGCTGGCGCGACACAAATCCACACACAAACAGCTTGTTTGTTTGATGAAGGCGATGGTGGGCACACACTCGCCGCCGTCACTGCTTTGGTTACAATTTCATTTGAATAATTACAAATATAAATAAAAGAAGTAAAACACACACTGGAGAGCAAAAAAATTGCACGTATGTAATTCGCATGCAAAGCAGTCACTTTAAGTTGCTTTTTGACTGCCAGCCTAGCCTGACTGTCCGTCTGTTGTGCTGTTTGTCGCGCTTATTTATTAGCAATCGACGCATGCGTGCGGTTGTGTGTCGCGTAGAATAAACAGACGCGCGTTGCAATGAGCAACAACTTGTTGCAATTGTTATTGTTTTTGTTGTCGATCAATTACACTTTTTTTGTGCCTGAACTTGAGTGGGGGTTTTCAATTACAAGACGAGTTTTTTTGTTTTACAAAAAAAAAAGTTGCAGAAAATAAATAAAAAAGTAAATGTCCATCAGTTTGCTAGAAAAAAAGCACGTAAGCAAAGCGAGTATGTATGTATGTACATCCGCCGAGTGCTAAGTAACTGTAATTCGCGCTACTAGTCTGTGTATTTGTAATTGCAACTTTTCAAGGGAGACGTCAAAAGTAGAGCCGGAGCTAGGTCAGGATTGTCGCCATAAGTGCCACTCGATTACCAGTTGCAGAAAAAATAATAACAAAAAAGCCCACGAATTAAGGTTAAACGGAAGCAGTTGTAAGCCACGCGGCGGTGACGAAAATAACTCCGACGGCTATGTTGTTAGAAAATTATAAAACAACTGCAAAAGTTGCTTTACTTCCAAATCACTTTCTTAGCGCTTAAATTGGCTGAGCTTGCACGTTTTTAATAAAATTTTTGTAAATATATTTTGGACATATTTTATTTAATTTTTTTTTTAGCGTACGCCTTATGCAACTCACTTCTGATTTTTCAGTCAGCTCACGATTACTAACTTCTTATTACATGTACTTTGCAGGCTTAACGCAGCATTATATTTGCTTTTGCTGTCTAAAAGCCAATAAGATTTATTTAATTTTTTTAATTTTTAGTTTCACGCACGCGTATTTCGTTTCCTCCGCAAAGTCGTGCTTAATCGCGCAGCCACAAACCGATACTAAGCTTGTCTTCGATGTTGATCTTTAAGTGGCAGCAACTCGCTCGCAAGCCCCCATTCAAGTTGCGTCAAGAAGACAAAGTGAGTGTGAGCGCAAGCATAAGCGGGAGCGCCCCATCACACACACGTACACTCACTCACTGGGCGGCAAAGGCGAAGTAGCAAGTCTCCAAAGTTGGCGCTCATTCACTTTTGCTGCCAGTATTCGCCGCGCTAGCTAACTTACTTTTGTTTACGTTCGCTGTGTGTCTTCTAAATGCATATGAACATTTATACTTTACCGCCCAGCGTTGGCTCGCATGAGTCAGTTAAAAGCGATCGAGCGATCGAGCGTTCCACCGATCTAAGCGGGCGCCTGCAAAGCAGCGCGCTACATTTGCGAGTAGTTAGTAGGCAACAAGCTTGTATGTATATAGTCTAGGCTTTTCACAATTTAACCCACTCGCTGGCGATTCAAGCGCTTCTCAGGTGACTCAAATAAAAAGTCTCCACGATCGT